AACTACTTTCTGAATCCTAGCAGAAAGATAAGACTGTATCAGACTTAGTGAAATATTTGATACACCATAATGCTTCATTTTATTTAACAATGTTTCATGGCTAACGCAGTCAAACGCCTTAGATAAATCGCAAAAAATGCCAATAGCATCGTGCTTACTCTCCCATATATCAAAAATGTGTTTGAGAAGTGCAGTTCCAGCATCAGTAGTACTTTTGCCTCTGGTAAAACCAAACTGTTTTAAATGAAGTAGCTTATTTATAGAAAAGTGTGCTAGTAATTGGTTATAAATTATTTTCTCAAATACTTTACTTAGCGCTGGTAATACAGATATAGGCCTAAAATTGCTGGGATCTGATTTATCACCAGCCTTATAAAGAGGGATAACTTTAGCACATTTCATTAGATCTGGAAACACTCCCTCATCAATACTCATTAGATCTGGAAACACTCCCTCATCAATACAAGAAACAATAACAATTACCACACCTGCGTCACTACTCAGCGTTTACGCCACGCATATATTAGTTCGAATACCTAACAAATAAATCTTCTAACAAATGTTTACCTCCTAAGCCTTCTATAGAACAGAGTACGTATACAAACAAAATACCGTATAGTCTGTAATTGCCTACGATCCCGCGTCTTCACTATCACTTGTAAGCAAACAGCCCTCCAAAGGGCTCCGAAAGGCGGGAATAAAACAAAATGAGTTTCGCTATTGATCCACCAGAGGCCTGCAGTTTATGTTTAGTGAACCTGGCAATATGAATGTGCTGGGATAAAAAAGATATTTCTGTTACAGCCTTTTAGATCGCCGTTGACGTGCAGTTTTGGACTGTAACCGTGATAGTTATAAGGGTGATATTGGCATGAATTGGTGGTAAAGGGACGTAGCAACGTTGTCGTAAACCCGCGGTTTTAATTTGGCCCTACTATTTGTTGAGGCGGCTGGTAATTGACTGGATGGTAAATTGGTTACGATATATTTGAGGTATCATAACTATGAACATTTAACACAGGTCAATTCCGATTGTTAGAAAAGGAAGTTGCAATAAATGAGTATGAGACTAGCAGAACATCGCTCTTCGATATTTGTTTTCGGTAAAAATGTATTCCTACACGAACAGATTTTTTTATTGAAGTTATACTTCTTTAGCCGCGTTATGAAAAAATTATGAGAGTGAAATTTTAAGATGCGCGCGCATCACTGTAACACAAAAGTAACATAATGAAGTAAGCCGCGGGCGCGTTTCGAAAAAATGATGAGAGTGAAATTTTAAGATGCGCGCGCAACACTGTAACAGAAAAGTAATACCATGAAGTCGGCCGCTAAACCGCACATTACTCGTAAGTCTCGAAAAAAAGCTTCCAACAAAATAGTAATAGGATCTCTTAGTCGCACATGTTGGGACGCTCGTCGCCTCTGATCACTGTTTTCATAATTATAATATTTATCCACATGTTTCTAGTTTCTATATTCTTAACATGTGTTATAATGTTATACAAATGCGAAATTTATATGTGCTAATAAATTTTATTCAGTAGTGATTTAAATTGAATATTTTGATTATTTATTAAATTTTTCAAATTAAAACTGAACTTTATTGACTGCGTTGACTATCCTTTTCCAATCCTTTTATTATCTTATTGTAATTAATTATCTGCATGCAATTAAAAACTATTTTTTAATAATTCCAAAAAGAAATATAACTTCTCACGCGCGTACTTAAGTACACGCACCCATATTTTTTTCATTATATTTTTATTCGATTATTTACAATATGTCTTTTTAATTAAGTTATTATTTATCAAATTTTAACGTGTTTAATAATATACTGTCCGTGGTCGAGGCTGCTATTTGATACAGCCAGGAGCACGGGCAGAATTCTGAAAGAGGAAGCATAGAAGGATAGCAAAGATAAAAGTAGGTATACAAGAAAATAGGGAAGTGAAAAACAAAGTAAAGAAAAGTTGATTCACATTAGTGCCGTTAAATACTACTCGTTTGCTTCGAGTTGGCCGTCGATAGCCAATCACAGGCACATCAACTGGTACAAAGAAATTTGGTGGCTCATTTCTTTGTCGTACTATTCGTAAGTGGAATTCTTTGCCCGCGCACTTGTTCAATCCTTCCTACAATCTGGGGTCTTATGAGAGAGGCGTGACAAAGCATTTTTGCTGGCCGGCAAGGTGAGGATGGTTGGTGTGGCAGTTTATAACTGCTGTACCAGCTATCTTCGCGTTTGGACTTTATCACCACCACGGTGGGATAAAAAAGAAACGGTAACTTCTGAAACGCCAATAGACAGGGAAAGGCGTTTGAAAATACGTAGAAAATATCTACCACATCTGATCGAACCTTAACTTAAGGTTGTTAAACATGGCTATAGGTCAGGCGGTCGAAATTTTTAATAGGCTTACAATCAGTTTGAAATCGATTATTGACTATGCATCTTTTCAAAACAAATTGAGGGACTTCTTGTTGACGAAATGTTATTACAGCGTTGACGAATTTATGAGACAGGATTAGGTTGACAAGTTTATTTATTTATTTTTTACATGATTTTTATCCAATTTGACATAGTGAATTTGTATTTTTTCTTTTTATTTATTAATTGTAATAATCCAATTCGACATTAAAAATTTGTAATTTGATTTATTATTTTATTTATATCTGCTTTTATTTTGTTTTATGGAATAAATGAATTGAATTGAATAGAGTTATTTGCCGACCTGGTAAAATTAAAAAAAAACTCTACGGCCCCTTTATTTATGAAAGGTTCTAAACGGGTGAATCTGAAATTAGCTTTTTAATCGAATATCGAAATATTAAACAAATTTGTTCTAATGGAAGATATGTACCTAATGTAAGTAAGCAGTCTGCAGACATTTAATTAGGATGCTTTCATTTAGGATTATTTTCCCACGATCAAAATCCCACGCGGACCAGGCTGCAGACGGGACTCGAACCCGCTCCCTTCACTATCCGGGCGAATGCACTGACCATTATGCTATCGTGGCTCTGACGGCTATGTCGAAGTTTCTGTAGCCTTAGGCTGCAAGGCAGCGCCATCTCTTCGCATTATAGGTAGTTAAACCACAATGTCAAATATCTAATTTTTACAGGTATTAAACATTTGAAATAAGAAATAGCAATTAGAGTTATATTTTTAACGTTTAAAGCATTTAACTGCTAGATGTTTAAATCTAATGAAAATTTATGTAATGAAAACACGTAGCCGTTAATTATTTAAAAAAACAAAATTATTACAAACGTACTAGGTACTTATTGTGAAAGGGATTCTGTATGTCTCTAACATTTTTATACTTAGGCCAATTCATTATGATGAATTTTGTCGGAAAAAAATATTAAAATTGAATGAAATGAAATAGGTAATTTTTAGGTTTCCGTATCCAAATGGCAAAAAACGGAACCCTTATAGATTCGTCATGTCTGTCTGTCTGTCCGCCCGTATATCACAGCCACTTTTTTCCGAAACTATAAGAACTATACTGTCAAAACTTGGTAAGTAGATGGATTCTGTGGTGATGGAAACTGAATAGTTTACGCGTGAGACACATCCAAAGTGGTACCCCTCTGTAACTTCTTAAATAAGGCAATGATAAAACTAAAAAAAATATGATGTACATTACCATGCAAACTTTCACCGACAATAGGGATGATGACAAATTTTTTTTTCTTCGGTTATCAGGTAGATTATCGAAAAGTATTGGATACGTATTTTTTCTTTTTTCACATAGTATAAACATTGTAGAGATATATTGATTTGAAAAGTCGCATGACGTCACGTTTGAGTACACTTTTAAGTGAAAATTCACTAAAAAGTGACGTCACGAGCCCCTACTCCCAAACTTTGACGCGCTATAACTTTGTCATTTTTTGGTTGATTGCCCAAAGAAAAAATACTTGTCCATTATTTTTTGATCATCTAACTGACGGACTAAATAGAATTTCGTTTACTGTACCCCGTCATCACCCCTATTAGTTTGAACGAGATCTAGTAAGTTGTTTCTTTTAATTATTAATTAATTAAAAATAATACACTATTATTAAAACATCGATCAAAATTACAACGAACTACAAGTACTTTTATGGAACCCTTCATGAGCGAGTCCAACTCGCACTTGGTTACTTTTTTTATTTTATAGGGGTGGCACTGATGGTGGTGGTGGTCCTGACAAAAATCCTGAAATTTCCATAAAGTCCGGACATTTTAGTCACAAGGGTACGGCCAGAGTGCACTCAGATTCAGATTCAGACTCAGAAAACAAGCGCGAGAAATATGCAGTGTGTTTAAGCAGGTTGCCTGCTGCCACTATGGCCACCCTGCTTTAACTACACTGTTTATTTCTCGTGCTTGTTTTCTGAGTCTGAATCTGAATCTGAATCTGCGTGCACTCTGGCCGTACCCTTAGTTACAATGGTATGGTATTTAAATCAATATGTACTTTTATTATTCATATTCAATGTAATATAAAAAAATCGGACAATTTAAAAATCCGGTGATATCCTATGATCTTAAAAGTCCGGACATGTCCGGATATGTCATGCGAAAATGAATTATTATTATTTACTAATAAAAACTAGATTTTATTTCTTTGACTTTGAATCTTTTTCAATGCTGAGCCTATTTCGGAACGAGATGAATTGTCAATTTTATGAATATTTGTTTTCGTTGAACAAAAGCTTTGTATATTAATGCTTGCAATTGGTCAATATTATTTAGAAAACTTTAAACGTTTCGTTATCTTTGTAAATGTGCCTATTAAAATAAATAAATTAATAAAAAAGATAAAGCTTATATGTCATCATAAGCTAAATAACATAACACATTACATGTACATTAAAAAGACATACGTTTTATTTTTTTTCACCGAAAGTGGAAGAAGATTAATTCTAAATTTCATGCAACGAAACGCAATTTACAAGGGACCGTACAAAGAGAACACTCAGTAATTTCTTCTCTAGAATCTGTACTCTGTGGTTTCTAAGTTTGCTTGTCATCGCCGCCGAACTGAAAACGTTATTTGCCTAAAGTTTTACATTGATTCTATGCAGAATTAAGCCTTCATAATAAATACATATTTACTCTTTTTATAAATCAAAACCATGAGTTCCATCGGAACAGGAGTAAGTAACTATTCCAAACATGAGAGGTTATAATTATTTACACATATTTATTTCTTTTAATTTTGTATCTTGGCTCAATTTTTATCCTAGAATTTAGTGTGAATTGTAGTATGCTGCCATTTATTTACGCGCTTAATAGGTAAATATAGCAACAAGGCATCATAGGCTCTGTTTAAAATTTACCCAATCATCAAAACATTTGTCTAAAATACTTGTGTAGTATCAGTCACAGTTCTATAGTCAAGTGTTGGTAGATGTTTATGGTGTATTGTGTTAAATATGTAACAGGTTATTCTTTATATAATATTGATATTCCAGTTTATGAACAAAAAGCAAGAGTGGTTATGAATATTCCAAAAGGCTAACCCATAAAATGTAAAGAAATTTTACTTACAAGATATCTTTTGGTTCTTTCAGTACGATCTTTCTGCTTCACAATTTTCACCCGATGGAAGAGTATTTCAAGTGGAGTATGCAGCAAAAGCAGTTGAAAATTCTGGTACAGTTATCGGTCTCCGAGGGAAGGATGGAGTTGTATTCGCAGTTGAAAAGCTAGTGACATCAAAACTGTATGAACCTGGTGCTAATAAAAGAATATTTCATGTTGATGAACATGTTGGCATGGTAGGGAATGTTGATTTTAATTAACTAACCCTTATTTCTGTCCCGAACTAGGGCTTCTTTAAATCTACTTAAATTCATATTCACATACTAAGATTCGTACTTCACAATATTTCAAGAAAAAATTTCAACAGTAGAAAACCCCAGTAAAATGATACTTGTAAAATGACTTAGTTGGCTTTTTATCACTACTACTGTATTTGTAATTATTGTATTGTTAGGCCAGTATGCATTTCTTTGTTCTTTAATTTTTTGCTAAGTGATTTATGCTTTAAAATCTCCTAAAGGAGTGGAATAAAAAAATATTGCTCATTATACTTCAATATAATTTGGAATTTAAATACTAAATCACTTTAGAACTTTTTATAACATGTTCTGAAAAGATTTGAAACAACAAGAATAATGTAAAAAACAAACAATAACTCACGCTTAATACGCGCTTGATAGTATAAGAAACAAGTATAACTACTTCTGATAATCAATGTAACCCTTGCATGGATTCCAGGCTGTGGCGGGTCTCATATCAGATGCAAGACAGATTGTGGAAACAGCCCGTTCCGAAGCTTCTAACTACAGATCTCAGTACGGAATCCCAGTGCCGTTAAAGTATTTGAATGAACGTGTCTCTATGTACATGCATGCTTACACTCTGTACAGTGCAGTCCGTCCTTATGGGTGTTCGGTTGTGATGGGAACATGGACAGAGCACGACGGACCCCAGATGTACATGCTCGACCCTAGTGGAGTTGCATTTGTAAGTAAATAATGTAAGGTTATGTAGTTTAATAATATACACATATAGGTTGATAGATGCTTCGATTCCATTATGCAGTGATTTGTCACATCTGGATTCAAATTAGAATGATACCTGGAAAATGTTTGAAGCCTATCCTAGTCTACTAGATATCTAGAAAAAGTTTTGAAGTTTTTCTCTATCTATTACTTAATGTCATTATTTCTTTTTATCATTTTATCATTAATTTTATTATATTATAACTTATGCACCATGTAAGGATAAAGCCAAATATTTGAAAGCTCATCTTCTGAACGTGACATTTTCAAACCTCTCTAGGTTACAATACTTGTTGCTAAACTCATTCATTTTGAAAATTACAGTCATACTTCGGCTGTGCAGTAGGCAAAGCGAAACAAGCCGCTAAGACTGAGATTGAAAAGCTGAAATTGGCTGACCTGACAGTGAAGGATCTTGTAAAAGAAGCTGCTAGAATGTAAGTGTAATTTTGAAATCTATACTAATATTATAAAGAGTGTATACATGTGTTTTTGATCTGTTAATCATTTAGTTGACTATTAAATCTACCCTCAGATCTACATGTATTTATCCTAATATACTTTTACTAGCAAACCAGTGAACCAAGTGTTCACGGTTTGGCCGCTGAAACAGCACAGACAGACGGACTTGTCTTATAGATAAGAGATAAGTAGAATTTCTGCCATCTATTGATCCTCCCCAGCAATTCTTAGTACAGTGTGCTTGGTCCATGTGCTAATGTAGTATGCCGCGTTTTTCACTAGATGGCGCGCTTATAATTCCAAATGAGGGCTATCGTGTATGAATCCACCGCTGGAGGCGCTTGTGTAGCGTGAGGTCTTCGTAATGTCAAAAGATTGATATTACTTGTGGATTGACTATGCGGGTTTATTTTTCTTATTAAAGAAATGTGAATATTTGGTAAAAACTCAGATTAATTATGGTAAATATGAGTTACGTGCCAATGAATGTAAGTTATTTCAAACCGGAAATATGAAAAATTATATGGCGCCATCTGGTGAGACAAGAAACGGTAGCCCTCGTTGGCAACTTGAAGAAAAAACGCACTTGATGAGTTATGGACCACACACACACACACCGTTCAGATTAGGGTAGTAACACACAAGCGGGCCGTATAGCGGGAGTATACCGTGTTTTTAGCAAATAAAGATTATGATTATTCTGATTATTAATCCGCACAGACGGGCGGAAAAATCGAATATATCGACAGTGGAAAAGCAAAATCGCTTAAACGCCACTTTAGTAACTTAACAGATACGAGGATCAGTTTTTTTCACAAATAAAAACATAATTCATTATAAATGAGAAGTAGCGCAATAAAAATAAAAACAAAATAATATTTTATAAATATCCTCCTATTAAAAAGTTACATAGTGCCTTTACTTTACGAATTAGATGTCGCTTAAGGAGAAAATCGTGAGTGCGTGAGAGTTGCTTATGTAGTCGAAGTCGGAGCATATTTTATTTGATATATTGTTTCAGCCATCGCTGAGGTACCCTGTAACTGTCATGCTCATCGGGAAGAGCTGTGCACGCATCCCACACAGACACACACACACACACGCACGCACGCACGCACGAACGCACGCACGCACGCACGCACGCACGCGCGCACACACACACACACACACACACACACACACACACACACACACACACACACACACACACACACACACCATATACATATGAAGCACCATACATCATCATCAGCCTATTAATGTCCCCACTGCTGGGGCACAGGCCTTCCCTATGGATGGAATAGGGAGATTGGGCCATAACCCACCACGTACTACCAAGCACCATACACCATATACAAATATATAGTGACCTGTTTCACCTTTTCCATAGGAAATTCCCATTTAAACCCCGTCCGGAAAGAAGTTTCACTTTGATAATGGGCTGTGATGGTAATGGTAATATATCGTTTCCTCCACAGCATCTACCTAGTCCACGATGAGTTGAAAGACAAACAGTTCGAGTTGGAACTGTCGTGGGTGTCGGCGGCGACAAAAGCTGCGCACGCATCCCACACAGACACACACACACACACACACACACACACACACACCATATACATATAAAGCACCATATACAAACATATAGTCATCTGTTCCACCTTTTCCATAGGAAATTCCCATTTACACCCCGTCCGGAAAGAAGTTACACTTTAATAATGGACTTTTCATCACGCTACAATCAATAGGAGCAGAGTAGTGAAGGGGAATGTTGGGAAAACGGGAGAAGTTACTCCATTTTTTAAGCTTCCGTCGCGTGTGCAGCTTTAATGGTTAAAGTTACATAGAAATCATGTATGACGGAAATATTCTACATAAAATTGTCTAAAAAATATCCCCCAACAGCATATGTCTGTCTTTTATGGTTGACTCACAATAACACGTGTAATTATATAAATAAAGTCATTGTTTATAACACAAGCCTGAGAACAAAAACTATAGTTTACACTACAGCTCTACACCGAAGCGAAGCGAGGGCGGGCCACTAGTAAATAAATAAATATCGTTTCCTCCACAGCATCTACCTAGTCCACGACGAGTTGAAAGACAAACAGTTCGAGTTGGAACTGTCGTGGGTGTCGGCAGCGACACGCGGGCGTCACGAGATGGTGCCGCGCAGCGTCGCGCAGGACGCGGAGAGCACCGCCAGGCAGGCCCTCGCCGACATCGACGATTCCGACGCTGACGACATGTAGAACTAACGAAATAAACCTTTGTAAACTAATAAACAGTCTTTTCAAAAATTATGAAGTTTTACTTCGGTCGAATAAGAAAGTTTTTGATACTGAATTGGTTGTTTTAATTTGCCTTTTTTGTCGAGTGTGACAATGAATCAACACGAGCTGTACCCTTAGCACGAAACAATATCGAATTCGAATAGTTTGCGAGTGCTAAATGTCACTGGTGCCGCGCGCCGTCGCGCAGGACGCGGAAAGCACCGCCAGGCAGGCCCTCGCAGACATCGACGACTCCGACGCTGACGATATGTAGAACTAATGAAATAAACCTTTGTAAACTAATAAACAGTCTTTTCAAAAATAATGAAGTTTTACTTCGGTCGAATAAGAAAGTTTTTGATACTGAATTGGTTTTCCTAGCCTTCAGCGCCATCTCTTCGCATTGTAGGTAACCCACAATGTCAAATGAATACTTTTGCAAGTATTAAACATTTGAAAGAAGAAATAGCAATTATAGTTATGCGAAGGGTGCGGGTTCGAGTCCCGTCCGCTGCCTGGTCCGCGTGGATTTTTTTCTAGTAAACTTTTCTTTAGATTTAAACATCTAGCAGTTAAATGCTTAAAAATAAATAAAAACATAACTGAATTGGTTGTTTTGATTTGTCTTTTTGTCGAGTGAAAGAACGAATTAACTCGAGCTGTATGTACCCTTGCACGAAACAATATCGAATTCGAATAGTTTGCGAGTGCTAAATGTCACTCGTGTCGCGCAGGAAGCTGAGAGCACCGCGAGGCTGGCGCTTGCTGACAGCGATGACTCCAACGCCGACGCCATGTAGACCTAATACCTTAAGGATATAAAATTTAATATTCATCAGGCTAATAACTATAAAAGCCTTATCAGCTTATAATTCAAATATAAGGATGATATTGAAAACATGTGAATAATTAGAGCGCCATCTATTATCGTAGCATCTAAGTTCTGTAAGTAACAAAAGCAAACAGGCATCGTGTGTACCTACTTTAAATGAAAACAGATGGCGTTATTTTTGTCTAGGCAACGCTTTGCACGCAAAAATACAGTGCTTACTTCGTGTCGACCCCAGTACCTAATAACGGCCATAACTTGCAGCTCCACGGGTATACTGCCGCCCGGTTATCCACAGACAGATCATCTCTTAAAATGTTAATGATTTTTTTCATATTTTCTTTGCTAAATCTGTAACGATTTTTGAAGTCTTTTTTCACTGAATTCATCCATAGGATTAGCTCTTGAGTTGTACACTTTTGTTCGCCTACCTAATCCGATACCGATATTCCTGAAATTCCGGATTTCGTCTATGTCATTGCGAAATGTTTGCAACACATTATCATTTTCAAATAAATCCATATTGATAGCTACACTAAACTATATTAAATTGTACTGCAAGCTGCAAATACCTTGAACGAGTGAAACACAAAGGAAAGATGCGCCACTACAAAATCGAAATCAGCTGTTTCTTTTTTAAATTTGATCCGCCATTTTGGTAATTAAAGCTTTAAACCATGCCTAAAGTCCTAAACAACGATGCGACGCTGTTTAACTTGACAGTTATTTAAAAGACTACTTATACGTTAATTAACACTAATTACCGTTTATAAGTAAAATATTTTTTTAATAGACTGTTAAACAGTGTTTAAATTTTAGTGAACGTTTATAAGTAAGACTAATATAATAATTTAATATTAAAATACGATTTATATTGATAGCTGAGTAAGGTAAAACACCCAATCTTCGACAAGGCACCATTGTCCGACATTAAAAAACAAAACAAAGAAAAATAAGAATATATTCTGACTTCTGAACACATTTGAAGCATAAACTATAGACGAGGATTATCTAGCTGTCATTGCTGATAACGTTTCATATTTTCGGCAATTTTGTACAAAATGGCGTAATGATATGTTTCGACCGCGGTAGATCTCCAACCAAATCCAGTTTTATTTGTGAAATCGCTAAGGAGGTGAGTAAGATTTGTTGCTCATAACTTTTAATGGTTTTGTTTTATCTAAAACGTTAGTTATTTATTACATGAGGATAGAAATTCACAACTGCTTAATAATTTCATTAGAAGGGTAAGGTTATATTTAAATGCTAAAATACGCCTGTCGGTAATTGGGAGTTTTTTTTTGCTTTTCCATTCTTCGACAAATGTCGAAATGTTTTTTTATTTTATTTTGTGCACTTGATTATATTGTTTAGCTAAGCTTGTTCAGCACTCTAAATATTTAGGTCTTTCATTTAAATATTCTAACTGCTTCCAATGATCGACAGCCGTGTCGATGATTGGGTATCCCATACGTTCCAATGACCGACAGACGATATGTCGATGATTGGATATTCTATATATTAGTCTACATGTTCCAGTAACCGACATTCTTGCAGGATGGCCCCGTTAAAAAAAATTACATGCCTCTTCAAATGGCCCAGGCCGTAGAAGCAGTCAGAAAAGTCAGTTTGGTGTACCCAAAATTACATTACACGATAATATTTCCGGTAAGACTCCAGTTGAATGTTCCATGGGCCCTAAAACATATTTGCCAACGGTAGAGGAGGCTATTTTAGAAAAATGGATACTTGAAATGGCTGAAAAACACATTCCCATTACTAGAGATGAGTTACTCGATAGCGTACAACGTATCATAATTGACCAGAATAAAACAACTCCATTGACTACCAATAGACCGGGCAAAAAATGGTACAACCTTTTTCTAAATAGACATCCTATATTATCTGAGAGAACGGCACAAAATTTAACGACAGCTCGAGATGCTGTTACAAAAGAGCATATAAGACACTGGTTTGAAGAAGTGGAATCTCATCTACGCGAAAAGAATCTCAAAGATGTATTAGAACAGCAGGCAAGAATATTCAACACGGACCCTTTTTTTTGTCACCTAAGGCTGGTAAAGTTCTTGCAAAAAAAGGTGACAAACATATCTACCAATCTTCCGGAGATGAAAAAGATAATTTAACAGTATTAATTACTGGAAATGCTGCTATACAATTGGCACCACCCATGGTAGTATTATAATGCAGGCCCCCTACAAGGTGGACCGACGATCTTGTGAAGGTCGCGGGAAGCCGATAGATGCGAGTGGCGCAGGACCGATCGGTGTGGCGATTCTTGGATAAATTCTTTGCTTATGCTCAGCAGCGAGCGTCATACGGCTGACATGATGATGATGATGGTAGTATTTGCATAAGAGAGAATTCCGTTCACAATTTCCTCCCAGTATCCTGAAGATTGGGCAATTGGACGTTCACAGAGGAGCTGGATGTGTTGTAGCACGTTTTACGAATACATTGCGAACGTTTTTAATCCATGGTTGTTACAGCAAAATATCGCAAACGAAATTTATTTTGGCCCGGAGAAGATGAAGATATGTCATTTATGTCTCCTATCGCAGGTGGGCTGGAAGAGATTTCTTAGAGAAATAAGCCACACCTTTTGTACGTAATTATTTAAGTATATTTTTATGTATTTTTATTTCGTGTACAATAAATTATTAAATAAATAAGATAAAAAAGGGGAAAAAAGAAAATTAAGAGAAAAAGTTCCTTCTGTCATCACAAGTAAACCGTGGAGGGATTATCAAGAATTGAAAGAGAAACAAAAAAGAGAAACAGCATAGTTAAAAGAAATTAAAGCCCAAGAATGAGAAGAGAAAAGATAGTTAAAACAGAGAGAGGCCGAAAACAAAAAGCAAAATAGACTAAAAGATAAAGAAAAGAAGAAGAAACGAAAAACGATACCAAAACCAAATGACACATCGTCGGACAATACAGACACCGAGGTAAACTATGCAGAAAGTGAAGATAGCTACATCATGGAAATCGAAGAAGAACTAACAGACGAAGATATAACACTGAGCAAATATTCCAAGCCAGCAAAAACATGTTCTATTGGAGATTATGTTATAATCCAATACGTAGGGGATTTTTTCCCAGGCGTAATTAAAAATTTTGATAAAAACAAATTTGAAATTAACACCATGGCCTTTTCAATGTAACACGTTCAAGTGGCCGGAAAAAGAAGATATAATCTGGTACCAAAAGTCTGACATAGTTAATGTAATTTCGAAACCAATGCTTTGCAATAAAAGAGGTTTATGAAGTACTTAAATTAGCTACGCATTACATGCCCACATCTCTTGTTTGTTTATTTAGCTAATTAAAATGATTAAAATACTGAATAAGACTTTTTTTGGGAATGGTATTTGAGGTCAGTACGATATTTGGATGATGATAAATAGAACATGTTGATTACTAGATCACGATTATTGGAACATGTCGATTACTGGGTGTCGATATATAGAATTTTGCAGTCGATGACTAGGCTAAAAAAAGCCTAAAACTATCTTGGTTTTTTTCCTAAGTTATTAGTATTACACTTCTATTTGCTTTAAATTAATATAGAATTAACCCTAAAATGTTACCCAGTGCATTAAAAAATCATGTATTATCATAAACAAACCAGATATTTGAAAAATGCTCGAATCTCGACGTTAAAGTGTCGATAATTGGGTGTTTTACCTTATTAACCCGCTTTCATGGCGGTTACGCCAGATTTTTTTAGTATGTTTCAGTACGTAGCATACATCAGACTAGTTACCACTTTTATACGTTTTTCTGTTGTCGGGTTTCCAGAGCTCCACGAGGTAAGTGATGATGATGGTAAGTAGGAAACGTGCAACTCCTCGTCTGGGTCGCAAGCGTACAATGACGTCATCTGTGGTCGAGAGTCGAGTGGTCTATACACCGGGGTCACGGTAATATTATCTATACAGTGGTGTCGATTCTGGCATGATTCTCTAAAGCTAAACTTAAATTTGACAACAGTGTATCCTTGTCATTCTAGACATAGAATAAAAAGGACAGACTGATATTAAATTTAGTTTTAAGTTTAGAGAATGCTGCCAGAATCGACACCAGTATTGTGACTCCGCCCTGTCCTTGAAAATAAATGCCTACACCGAACGCTGCGTTGCCGTTGGCACGCGGTAGGGCCGCCAGCCTACAGTACGAGTAATTTATGTAGTTTTGT